TATAATATCACTTATATCTTCCGTTTGTTAGATACTTACAATAAGCAGAAATCTATTTGCGGACACTCAATCGTGCTATTTGTAATCTGAATATAGATATCAAATATTTTATATATAATATATTATCGAGAAACGACATTTTTGAAATTTCCAAAATTGAAAAACATGTAGCACGGGTAGGTCATCCATAGGTAAAAGAAGAACGGCTCACCTTTAAAATGTCGCTAATTAAAAAAACTACAGAACTATACGATGAGTATGAATCAGACTCGAAGCACGCGACGTGGTCGCGTGTTGTAGCGAGACTTTCCATCTAGTACGCGACTCATCGCATGCGTGAAATCAAGGAGTGGCCACGCGTTGTCTCTCCGCCCGTCCATCTGTTCTATTCCACTTCTTATCCTTTCTTTTCTGTCGTTTTCTCGCGTCACGACTTCTATCACTCTTTCCCTGTTTCTCTCTCTTACACCCTATCTTCTTTCCTATCCATTTAGCAAATTGATTCCATAACGCAACCTGAACGAATATACGAGCATGTTGCTAATGCTTTAAACGTCGGGTTACCGGTGCACGCATGGCCTGTCCGGCATCGGATAAATTTTGCGGAAGACCACCCTCGTCAAAACGAACGTAAGAACAGAGAGAAAGGAAGAGAGAAAGAGAGAGAGAGAGAGAGAAAAGAAAAATACAAAAAATGAAAGAAGATAAATGAGAATAGGGCGAAAATCGTTTACGTTAAAAGAAATATTTTATTTGCGTGATCTTTGAAACGACACGAAGAGTCTTCCAATATACCTATATGTATATATATACATACATATATATATATATATATATATATATGTACGTGTATATGTATATTTACTATACCTGAAAGAGAAAGAAAGATTCTCGTGGGCGAACGATAAAGATGTGTACGCGAAAGGATTTCATAATTAGCTGATGTGAGAGGGAAGTGTATTTTACTTGGCGACCGATTCGCAGCTGCCTTCGACGCAGGCAGCGTGTGTGAGCCGATTAAATCGATCGATGTGGTAATTAAGTGGCGATTAACGAAGTCTCTCCACGATCGTCCTACCTCTTCGCGATTCCATCGACTTCAAATACGTGTATCATATGTGCGCTCACGCGCTTGTATGTGTATGAATATATGTATACGATCTGAGTGTGTATTCGTATTTACGTAGGTATATGTGAAAAAAAAGTACAAGTCTTCCGTAAAAGAGCTTTTAATTAAAAATATCCACTATACGTGCGCAGCCTTTAACTCAAGCGAATTAATTCGATTTCTGAGAGCTGCTTTTTGCAGAAACGCGACTTCTCTCGAGCATAGAGTTACCTATCGAAAGTTTATTTCGTAAGTTTACGACGAAGTCGAAAATTCTTTACCAAAAGTACGGAGCAATTTTTTTTCTCTGCCGTTCTCCTACATAATTATTGTAGTTATTACAATAAAAAGAAATTACCAAAAGAACGATGTGTTAGACCGAAGATAATTCTTATTTGTAACGCTTAGTCAGCGAAATACATGTAACATCGACGGAAAAAAACATAAGATAATTATTGAGAGTGAAAACGATGCGAAATAATTGATCGTCAACATTAAGGTAGTTCTAACACGACTGCATAAGTCAAAAGAAAACAGAAACAAAAATTCTAAGAAAAGAAGTTATTTGTTATAAGTTAAAGCAAGTAAAAATAATGTTATCGGCTTAAAGGAATATTCCAGACCATATAAAAATCTGGAACGTAAAAACAATCTAAATAAATAAATTTAATAAAAATTTGTTTCGCGTAGTCCCAGTCAAAAATTAAAACGTGACAACGTTGCTCTACTCGTATATCCGTATGATTCATTATCTGCGTGTATGCGTGCCTAAAGTTATGGTTATCAGTGAGCAGTACACATTGTTCAAATGTGTATTGTCAGCTGTGAGAAAGCGACGTTGTCGTGCTCACTAACACGTTCTTCTAGCCTCGAAACAATATTTTCTCAAGAGTCTATACTTTTTTACTATATGGTGGAAAATTTGCAGTAAAATATATGTTATTCTTCATATACGAAACTACTTCTGTGCCAAATTTCAAGAATTTCTCATTACTCCTTCGCACATTTTGGTGACTGAATATCTGAAAAATGCTCATTTCGTAGTGTATAAGCCATTGCTCGTATGCAAAATTCGCAATTTTTGATAAACGATATCTTGAAAACGGTTTGCTGAAACGGTCTCAAATTTTGCAGGAGTATTCTTCAATACTTTCTTTAGTATCTCACAAAAATTCATTACATTGGCATAACTTTTGATTTGTGTTAGAACTACCTTAATACGAATCATCGCTTTGTCGTCATTCTAAACAACAAGATCTTTTTATTCCTTCTTCTTTTTCTTTATTTTTCCTTTCTCTCTCTTATTTTTAAAAAAATGAACATTAGTAAAAATAACGTTTCTTTCTTTATAACAGATACCTATTTTCTCCGTAAGGTGTCTGGAGCTCGCGTGAAAAAGCGCACATTAGAGCCTTCGAAATTTTTATCACCGATACCAGACTGTATAATTATTGAACAAACGACTCGGTCAGACGTTTCAGAAATACACTTTTCCTACCGAGTTGGCAAAGATATTACAAACACGAATCAACTGGCGAACAAAACTTTGTATTATATTTCTCAAGGAATGGTATTTTTCAATTTAAAAATAAAGAAAAAATAAAGAAAAAATAAAGAAAAAATAAAGAAAAAACATACACGTGTAATAAAAAATTACTCAAATTATATTAGGATCATAAAGTTTGATTAGTGATCGAAATGTTAATCGTATATTCGCCAGAAATGCATTAGCACGCAAGGCGCACGATTAGATTTTGAAACCTTTCGCTTTTACGATCGCCATTTGATCCATCCGGCGTTTTATTATTCGCCGGTGCGAAAGATTGCATAATTCTTTTTCTATCGCGTTTCTCGACGATTACTTTCAAAATTTGCGAAGCATAAAAGAAGGGGGCCCGAAGGCGCAAAAGTGACTCTACTACTCGAAGATATCGTAGGCGTTTGACGATTTTTATCTCTCTCTTCGATTCACTAAGTAGCTCGAACGAGACGAGAGGAAGTTCTATGAAAGTGATTCATAGAAACTCGACGTAGTAATTAATGATCGTTTCACGGTGGAATCGTTCGTTACGTGGGCGGTCGAAGGTATGATATTTTCTCGGACGATATTACTAGCACGCGCAAACACTACCGATGTAAAGCCGAAAGAATCAATTCGATCTGCATCACTAATCGATTTATTTACGCGGCTAAAAGTTTTAATGATACGAAAGAAAAGAAAGGAACATATCGCGTCGAACAAACGAACAAATAATTTTCTATGAATCATTGAAGCATCAAATTAATAATGAGAAAAGAAACATAAAGTAACCAACTCTTTGGTATTATTTTATTCGCAGAATGGATCGTTAATTACTCGGAAACGTGATAATTGTATTCCACGCGATGGTAGCAAAGCTATCGGAAACCTCAAACTTAATTACCTACGTCGAATAAGTTACAAGAAGTAAAGATGGTAGGTTATCAGTAAATTTTAATTTTCAAAAGACCACGATGCTCGATCGCGAAGTTCGATAGCCGATATGAAAGCGTAAGGGGCGGAGTTATCCCTCTCTTTTTATCTTTATCTTACACATCGTCTCGATGATGTAGCTTTATTCTTTCACCCAATCACTCGTCAGAGAGTTCTTTACTTATATTGCTCGAAGAACAATTTATTACATCGATAGCAGAGAATATCTTAACATCGCGTACATATTTCCTCATTCAAGAGGCACGTAAGAGTGGCAGCTCTTTCAAACAAGAAGATAAAGATAATTGTAGGTTTTCAAATTACTTCGACAAGAAAGCAGCTTTGCCATTTTTTAGATGCGGTCAACGATTTATTATTAAATCGTTTAAATTTCCATATTCCTAGTGACGCTATCGAAGTTGACTAAATTTTCGAGAATCTCAAAAGCTATGCTCGTGTGAAGGATTTTTAAGAGAAATCCCAACTTTCCTGCATCTTCTTCTCTTTCTTCTTTTTTCTTTTTCTCGATCATTTCTCTCCTTCTTCTTACGGGATGCTCTTACGCGTAAAAGGCGTTCTCTACTCCTTTTTGTTGGGGGCCTAAGAAACGGACCCTCCGGTACACGAGACCATTAATATTATTACCGAGCGAGAGCGTGTAGGTATCATTATCGCGGAAGATGAAGAAAAGGAGGAACAGAAGATGGAGAGTGGAGTGAACAAGAAGAATGAGGAGGAGGAGGAGGAGGAGGAGAAAGCCATGGTGGCTCTGATGCATGTTCCTACGTACCCTTCCGCCTCCTTTTCTCTACATTCTTCTCGCGAGGAGGCTCCTCGATTACGCGGGCATTCGAAATTTTCAAGACTCTTCCGACAACATTGGGAATCGCTCTCGAAATTGATGTTGCTCGACCACGCGATCTTACTTCGACTTCGGTGGTGTAATGCTTTACGTGCTGGAGCTGCTCGATATTTATCGCCTTCTCCTAACTTACATTCTACAATATATCTCTGTTCTTTCTTTTCTTCTTTTATTTCTTATTTTATTCTTTTTTTCTTGCCCGCTTGCTATTCCTCATCATCGAGCAATTTTCATACGATAGAAATACACAATTTGTAATAGTTAAAAAATCGATCAACTCTATCTATTGACTTTTGTCAATTTTTTATTATAGTTTATATGATAGTTACATCGATGTAACTGATGAGTTAATAATATGTTCATTTATTTGTTGTAATTATTAAAACATTTCATTTTGTCTTCATTCAGTTTAGATTTCTTTTTATAATCATATATCTATCGACCATCGCTATCTCGACGTGTAACTAATAAAGAAAAGCGATTCGATGAACACTGAGAATCGATCTTTTTGGTCTTGGATCTTTGATCGCTACGGCAGATAACACTGTGTATCGTATCGTACGAGTGCACGCGAATAGATGGCATCAAAGTGAGTGACAGGTAAGAAAAGGGGCACGAAAAAAATGCGAAATGACAAGTATCGACGTCGTAAAAGCGACAAGCGTGTCGACGTCGCACATATCACCGAAGAGAGAAACGAAACAGAAAGAGAAATAGAGAAGAAAGAGGGAGAGAGAGAGAAAGAGAAAGAGAGAGAGTATGAGAAAGGAAAGAAACCTTTCGATTTATCGCCAATCACGATGTGACCCGTATTAACCCTCTCAAGTTCCCTTATATCTCGAGAAGAGAAAAAAAATGTGGATTCGATAATGCATCCCTTCGAATCCTTTCCCATTACGATCTTCTAAGAATTGAATAAATCACCTGACATCGAGATATAATATTATTATCTTAACACGATATCCTCTTATATGCCTGATAGATAAATATCCGAGAGAATAAGAGAATCTTCTTTAAAGATTATCGCACGGTAGTCGCAATGCATTAGTTGCGTTTAATAGTTCGAATCAAAGAGAAAGATAGAAATAAAGAAAGATTTACGGTACCTAACATAAAAATTCGCTTCTACTTCGCATCACCTTGAATAGCATAATTATGAAGGAGCTTACTTGATATTATAGGAGAAGGGGGTGGAAGATATATACGATGGTAGAAATATAAGGATCGCTGCTTCAGTTCTTAACGTCTAATCTGCTCACAATTCTCATTTGTTACAGGCTTACGTGCAGCGAATCTTATTTCCTCAGCGAGTGCCTATATGCTCCTTTCGAAGATCTTGAGGATACTCGCGAGGTCACTCTACACACGATAACGATTGGTTCTTTCATCGAAGATCCTGGGAAGGTGAGTGGTTATAATGTCATCTTCGACCTACCGTTATGTAAACATTTTCTTTTTACGCTTGAACGAGCTTTCTCAAGTGAAATCGTTTCTCCTTGTGTAAAATGTTGTCCACCTATCTAGTCTATGTCTGTGTATAGGTATATATACAGGGTGGGCCAATAACTCTGTTCAGTTAGAATATTGTTGTTTTTTATAACAATATGAAAAATTTTATATACGCAACTTAGACGGCATGGTGAGGGGCATTTTTGGCTTGAACGTTTTTTGCGTGGGTGGAGGCATAGAGGAGATTTCAAAGTCACCTGCATTTTTTAAATGGAACCTTATATTTTTTTTTTACACTATTCGATTACTTTTTTAATTCTGTGTTAAAAAGTATTTAGTGAAGTTCATCGAAATGTCAATAGTTTACGAGATATTTGAAGTTATATAAGGAGAATATAACAATGTATTGTTCCAATATCAATTTAAATCAATTAAAAAATGTAATGAAAAATGTAAAAAAGCGCAATAGAATGTGCGCATCTAATTGTTTAGAATGAAATGGAGAAACATTCGAACATTTATTATAATAAAATACATTACTGATATAAAACTTAAAATATCTCGTAAACTATTGACATTTCGATGACCTTCATTTAATACTTTTTAACGCAGAAAAAAAAGGAATCGAATAGTGTAAAAAAAATATAAGGTTCCATTTAAAAAAATGCAGGTGACCTGGAAATCTCCTCTATGCTTCCACCCACGCAAAAAACGTTCAAGCCAAAAAATGCCCCTCATCATGCCGTGTAAGTTGCGTATATAAAATTTTTCATATTGTTATAAACAATGACAATATTCTAACTGGACAGAATTATTTGCCCACCCTGTATATGTATATACATGTAGTATATTTCCTTGTGTATTCCACCATTCAGTTATGAGCATTACAAAATCAAACGACGCCAGGAATAATAATAACGTTTGCCCGAAGAAAATGTACCATCCATATAACATTGGCCAGACGAATTGAATCTTTGACAGGTACCTTCTACTATTGGAATAGAAATAACACACGGACTCGTACGTCGATCAAATATATTTTGTGTTTGTTTCATGTTAAAATTGTTCTCGACGTCGGCTTCTTTTTTATGTCTTGTAGTAATCAAACGATCATCCTGATAACATAGCACCCGATGATAACCACGGGTAAATGCATTAATGTTTCACTTCAAAATACAGAATGAACCGAAACTTATTCGTTAATGCGTGTAAACAGGATTTCTAATTGGCCGATCAAGGAAGTCCTTGTGTTTAAAAGAGGGTCCTCTCGTTTCTCCATCAGCATTCGCCAACGTTCTCCAACGCTTACAACTTTATACAAGCGGCGCACAGTAAAAGAGGTCGATAACGGAATAAATAAAAAGACGGCTAATTGCATTGCCAGTTCGCTGTTGGTTCATTCGTCGACCTTTCTTATCTTACATGGACATCGATTAAAATTACGTACGACTACGAGTGTGTGGTAGCCATTTAATCACCACCAACATGACCACCATATGTAAAAGCTACGGTAGTGCAGCAATAGCATCTCAAACGGTGCTAGGATCGGTTCTCTTCTCGGCTCACTAATTAAATGCAACAGTTAATTAGATAACTGATAAGAGGTTATGGGGACTTCTAAGAGGTTCCCTGTATTTTTGGTTCCTTACCCTTTTTTCTATGGCCACTTTTAACTCTTTTATTGTTTTTCTCTTCCTCTTTTTCTCTCTCCTTTTCTTTTTGTTTCTATTTCGTTCGATTTTTGCAGAATGAAATTCGAAACATAGCTTAAATTCCTTGAGAGTGATCGTGAAAATTCAAAGGTTTCCTTTTGGACGGCTTAGTCGAAGAGATAGATAAAAATCCAATTAATGACTCGCGGTTTAAATGTACACCTAGGTGTTCCATGAAGCTCTAAGACTCATCATTTGATCGACAAGATGTCTTTTATTTTTCAATAATACCTTATTTTCCCAATGTTTACACTGTTTTCCATTAACTAGTCGAAAAACTGGTTCGCTTCTCATGCTTTATTACTTGGCTGAGAGATACCTTGTTACTTTATTTATACATTAATAGTCTTGGTTAGTTTTAATTACTTGTCGTTCCTAGGTGATTTATAAGTTACCAACTAAATGCTAACTCATGAATGTTAACTACTGATTTGGTTTCTAATAGCTACCGTTTCGTTTTAAATGTAAAATTTTCCAAAGATCATGGTTAAATAGACTATTGGAAATTGAAAAGACATCTTTCATGCTCTACTGTCAAGTCGATAGGAAAAGACTTTTTGTTAACAATTACGACAATGTCTCTTCAAAGAGTGCAAAAACGTTTGATAAAAAAGAGACAATGTCATTACTGTTTTAATACTCGAGTAGTCTTAATCACCATGACAAATTGTCAGAAGCTTGAAGCAATCGAAGGACGTTGTCAGAAGAAACAACGACTATGTTACCATAAGATTGTCGTTCCAAGGCTATCACGAGCAGACTCGAATAGTAGTCATGGTGATGGCGACTGTGATGATCGGACAATTCCTAGACACGGCAGCGAGCATAAATTATTCAGACGACATAGCAAAAGCGATTAATTTTATTGGCCAACGTCCCGGATATGGCTCGTCTGTACCTGTCACCGTTGCTTTGTTGCAACGTCGTATCCCACTATGCTCTCCGTTCTACGATTATGCGCCAGACCAAGCTCTAACACCTTATTAACATTGGTGGTTATGCGTATACCGGCCGCAGGAAAGTTGCGCAAAACCATTTTCGCGTGAAGAGTTTTCCATCGTTCATCGAATCACCTAACGTTCCTTAAGCATTAAATTACCGAAGCTTCTCTTTTCCCTCTTTTCTTTACTCTTCTCATATTGTCTCATTCTTTCTTTCTTCTGGCACGCAGATACCATCATTGATAAATTCATATTATCTTGACATTTAATTTTGTATACATTAGCGTTTCGTATATACTTATAAATAAGAATTTTCTCTAAATGTTTTAGTCAGTCGAGTAAAAGTAAACAAGCAAAAGGGGTAGGTGCAACTCGCTTACTGCAATGGAATTTAGAGAGATATATAGCAAGAAAAGTTTCTAGCTTGTGATGTGTATTCCCAGATGACAGGAGAGACGCGTTCCTCGCGTGAGTAACATTAGCCTCTTTCTTTCCCTCTATTCCCAAAGTCGGTATGACAAAATGACGAATATACAAGGAGACTCAACTTTCCCAAGCTAGATTCTGGAGGCAAATTCTTAGCGATTCTAAAAAGTTAACGGTCGGGAGATGCTCGCCGGTGGCCATAGATAGAGCGTTGAGTGCGACATCGTCCCGCTCTCAACTCTCGATGGTTTCCCGGTAACCATGGGGTCAACACTCACATCGAGACATGTTTGGACGAACAGAAAACCGGGCAAAGAAAGAAGAAGCTTAACGGCTCAAGACCTTGTCCAAACGTATTGACCTCAGCCAGCAGTCGTATATCTGCACATACCCAGTCTCTTTCCTCTTCATAAGAATAGGAAAAGATCACAAAAGGAATCCAAAAGGGACGATAATCCTATATACTTGTCTTTTGCCTCAGAAACTACCACCTTTATATATTATTACCTGATACGTTAGTAAATATATTATACATAAATAGATAAGAACAACATTATATTAGATCGAATGTTGAAAACATGAAAAGTTTCTTGACACACACATGCACTCCAGATATTGATATCAATTTCTATTAATGAAAAATAAGAACACTGTATTAACGATAGAAACTCGTTCCTTCGTCGATTAGCAGCCGGTAACGATGAAGAACAAGCGTGTCATACTCGTCGAGCGTCCACCGTTACGAGATGCCGCACCGCTTAGAGTTGTGATCTTAATGCGCACAGACTTCTCATCCGTCATGTAGATAGCCTAAGAGGTAGTCTCTCGGACCGGCTCGTCCGTGCACACATACTTACTTCCTCGTTGTAGACACGGGCAAAGAGCGGAAAAGACAACCTGTCGTTATATCTTTCTTTCTCTTCTTCTATTCCGTCTCTTCCTCCTCCTTCTCCTCCTCCTCCTCCTACTACTAATACTCTTCCTCCTTGTCTTCTCTTATCTCTTCTTTTTCTTCTTTATCGTTTTTTGTTCTTCTTCCTCTCTTTCTTCGTCGGTTCTCCGTACGCGTCGTGACTGTCGTACTTAAGAACCGGGGACAGGAATCATGCGACTTCGAAGCGAGACTAAAATTAAGTGTCGGGATAATAAGCATGAATGAACCGGCTGTTAGACAGGTATTCGGTTACTATGGCCTTCGAGAGCATAGGTCAGCACCACTGTCAGCGATTTTACACCGAGTTACTATCGTCTCTGTGTGTCTCTCTTGCTGAATCATCTTCCAACGAAGAAGCCTTTAGACGAGCCCGGATACGTCTTCGATGCGAATCGCTGCAGTAGCCTTCCGCTTTAAATGACTCTTTCTAATCATGATACGTCTTCTTCATTTCATCTTACAATACGAAACTATTTGTTATAGTACATTTGATCAACGACGTTTGTTGATTTTACTTCGCTTATAATATAGCAATTATCCGTGATAAGAGTAATTCAATTTTTTAATGTATTGAAAACGAATACATTACATAAAATGTATCTGTATCCTTATACTTAAAATCATGAAGTACATAAATATAGATAAGTAAATATAGAAATAACCATTTATGCATAATTTTCTCAACGGTCAGCGCGTTAAATAAAGAAACATGAGAAAATTAAGGAGCGTCTACTTCTTCCTTCCTTCGACTCAAAAGTTTATTCAAAGAGAGGAGTGGTTCGGGTTGGGTCTTATCGACGATGATGCAAGGTATCTAAAGATACGCATCTTCGTCGTCTTTGATATCTCTTCTCCTTAGGTAAAAGTAAAAATTAGCCTCAGGCACTCTCGTTAGTTTCTCATCCGGATAGTCCCGAGAAAGAAAGAAAGAGAAAGAGAAAT